AACCCCCCCTCACTGTGGTGGGGTTGGTCCTCCACTACCTCCCCCCCTCACTGTGGTGGGGTTGGTCCCCCACTAACCCTCCCACCCCTCACTGTGGTGGGGTTGGTCCTCCACTACCTCCCCCCCTCACTGTGGTGGGGTTGGTCCCCCACTAACCCCCCCCACCCCTCACTGTGGAGGGGTTGGTCCCCACTACCCCCCCCCCCTCACTGTGGTGGGGTTGGTCCCCCACTACCCCCCCTCACTGTGGTAGGGTTGGTCCCCCACTAACCCCCCCTCACTGTGGTGGGGTTGGTCCCCACTACCCCCCCCCCTCACTGTGGTGGGGTTGGTCCCCCACTAACCCCCCCCCCCACCCCTCACTGTGGAGGGGTTGGAGCAGGCCGCCACAACACACACTGGGAAAGAGACGTAACAAGCCAGGTTCCTGGAGCCTCAGCTATGCACAAGGTGTACGCTTCCAGCTGCTCTGATTATTCTAAATTATTATTATATTCCAGGCTATTTATCCGGGTGTAGAGTACCTCCGTCGAGGACTTGTGGTACTTGACTATATATACTGGTATGAGTGTTGTGGTAGAGAGTAGTGGAGTGTAGTGGTAGTGGTGTACGGGTAGTAGGAGCAGACATGGGTTCGTCTAGTGAGATAACTTGAAATATTCTCCCCCCCCCCCCCCCCCTAACACTCACAACACAACATGAGAACATTCGCTGCTCATAACACGCCTCTCCACACACTACCTCCTCATTCCATTAACTTCAAGACTGGCGGACGTAATAACAATGCGAGGTACATCTGCATTTCCCCATCACACAGGATGGTTAGTCATACAGAGCCATGTGATCAGTAGTCTGCACTGGCAAACTCTGGGTGCATTATGAGGATATCTTCAAGAACACGAGAGTGAATAAAGTAATTGCAAAGCTCCAGGTACCTCATGCCAACGGGTCTGAATGGTCTAATAACTGGGCATTCGGTGATGTAGTGTGGGAGATCATGCCGCAGTTCCTGCTCACAGAGTTTGCACCTGGAGTGCTCAGGATTGGGAGATCCGTCACCTGTAGCCACCTGCCACAGGTAACGGTAACCCAACCTGATCCTGGCAACCACTGTGTCGCACAGTCTGGTGGACGTTTTGTGCTGCCCATAAATATAGGTTTCAGATCTGAACAAATCATAGCTTTTTATACTGGTGCTTTCAGGTCGTTGGGAGTCAGTAATTTCTCTCCTATCAGACCTGACCTGAGTGTTTGGACCAATACAGTTTTGACAGCAGAGATGGGGATACCTAGATCTAATTCAACTTCATCTTTGTTACACGCTAATTTGGCTGCAATGTCTGTCTCATTATGATGGGTTATATTTATGTGTGATGGTATCCATACAAAGGAGATTCGAAACCCTTTACTCTGTGCAGCGATTAGGTCATTTATAATTGGTAGTATGAGGTTCTTGCTGTCGATCTTCCAGGAGAAGTTTTCGATTGCTTGAAGAGCAGACTTTGAATCACAAAATATTATTCCTCCTCCAATGTTTTTTAATGTACTGGTAGCTAGTTGTAATGCTGCTAGTTCTGCTTGTGTGGAGGTCAGCCAGTTGTTTAACCTGACACTGACAGTCTTTGTGCAAATATTATTTCTATAAAACCTACATGCTGCTGCAGTCCGTCCAGTAGAAGATTGGACTGAGCCGTCGGTGTAGACACAGTGCTCGTGAGATCTTAAACTCTCGATGGAGGAGGCAATTGTTTCAAGTGTGACAGCTTTGAGAAGAGCAAGATTCTCATTACCTTTCTTGGTGACAGGTGTGTATGATACTTGAATGGTGGGGTACAGATAAAGAGGAATATCAGAGACAGGTAGATTGCACTTAAAAGGAATGTTGAGTTTGATGAGATTGTAGGCATTTTTGCTCAGCCATTTATCATAAAAGGAGTGAGTTGGTATGTCGGCACCAGTCAATAGGGTGTTAACAGCACTAAATAATTTGTCTCTGAGCAATGCAGGAGATGTAGGGTCTCTCATGACTTTAAGGCAAAAGGTAGTGTTGACTTGCATGATTCTCTCTAGTATGGTTGGAAGCTTCAGTTCTTCCCTCATGTTGATGATTCTTGTGCATCTTGGGGCACCAAGAATTATCCTCATGGCTTCATTCTGTACTACTTCAAGTTTGTCCAACACAGAGGAGGGGAAATTAATTATGTGCAAGGCATGATAATCAACTAGAGATCTAACAAACATCATATAGAATAATCTAGCATATTTAATATTGATACCAATATTCTTACCAGTAAGTGATTGTAGTGGTTTGAGTCTTTTAACCTATGATGTAGGTCGTTTACAATGTCACTGTTGATACCTACTCCAAGGTATTTGTGCTGCCCACATGTTTCAATGTTCTGGTTGTTGACCTTGAAAGTTAGAGGGACATGAGTTCTTTCTTGGGGATGGAGAGCTCTGGATTTAGGTATAGAGATAACAAGACAACATTCAATGCTTTTAGCAGCGAGTGAACCAAGTAGAGCTTGCAGTCTGTATTTGGGTATTTGCAACAATGCATGTCATCGGCATAACAAATGACGGCTTCGTCGGGTAGTGTGGGAATATCAATTGTTAATTTGTGCATCAGAACATTGAACAGTGTAGGACTTAGCACTCCACCCTGGGGTGTACAGAACTCAAAGGGTGCACAACGTTTACTTTTGACCCCCTTGAAAAGGACTGAGGCGGTTCTGTACAGGTAACCCCTGTTTTTTTTTTTTTTTTTTTTTTTTTTTATTAACATATTAGGTACATCTGCATTAGTGCAGCTACCCTAGACTATATGAAGTGGAGTACAGTGTGTCAAAAAAGCTAACTAGGTGATGCTAAAAAATCCCCATCACACAGGATGGTTAGTCATACAGAGGCATGTGATAAGCGGTCTGCACTGGCAGACTCCGGATGCATTTTGAGGATATCAACAACACAAGATTGAATAAGGTAGCAGTGGTAATACAAGTCCCCATCTCGCAGGATGGTTAGTCATACAGAGCCATGTGTTTAATAGCCTGCACTGGCAAATTTTGGGTATACTGTGAGGATATCTTCAAGAATACGAGAGTGAATAAAGTAATTGCAAAGCTCCAGGTACCTCATGCCAACTGGTCTGAAAGGTCTAATAACTGGGCATTCAGTGATGTAGTGCGGGAGATCATGCCGTAGTTCCTGCTCACAGAGTTTGCAACTGGAGTGCTCAGGATTGGGAGACCCGTCACCTGCAGCCACCTGCCACAGGTAACGGTAACCCAACCTGATCCTTGCAACCACTGTGTCGCACAGTCTAGTGGACGTTTTGTGCTGTCCATAGATGTAGGTTTCAGATCTGAACAAATCATAGCTTTTTATACTAGTACTTTCAGGTCGTTGGGAGTCAGTAAGTTCTTTCCTATCAGATCTGAATGTTTGGACCAATACAGTTTTGACAGCAGAGATGGGGATACCTAGATCTAATTCAACTTCAAACTTGTTACACGCTAATTTGGCTGCACTGCAGTCCGTCCAGTAGAAGACTGGACTGAGCCGTCGTGTAGACACAGTGCTCGTGAGATCTTAGACTCTCGATGGAGGAGGCAATTGTTTCAAGAGTGACAGCTTTGAGTAGAGCAAGATTCTCATTATCTTTCTTGGTGACAGGTGTGTATGATACTTGAATGGTGGGGTACAGATAAAGAGGAATATCAGAGACTGGTAGATTGCACTTAAAAGGAATGTTAAGTTTAATGAGATTGTAAGCATTGTTTCTCAGCCAATTATCATAAAAGGAGTGAGTTGGTATGTCGGCACCAGTCAAAAGGGTGTTAACAGCACTAAATAATTTGTCTCTGAGCAATGTAGGAGATGTAGGATCTCTCATGACTTTAAGACAGAAGGTAGTGTTAACTTGCATTATTCTCTCTAGTATGGTTGGAAACTTCAGTTCTTCCCTCATGTTGATGATTCTTGTGCATCTTGGGGCACCAAGAATTATCCTCATGGCCTCGTTCTGTATTACTTCAAGTTTGTCCAACACAGAGGCATGTGATAGGCAGTCTGCCTTCAATTCTATGGACTTGGACCTGAACATTTCATATCCAGCAACTTCGTGAAGCAGACCTCCTTTTTCAAGTTGGACACTGGGGCAGACCTCCCTCATGACTTATTTCCAGCAGACATCTTGCAAAATGTGGCGGAGACTAGCCCTAAGCTTCTGACTTCCATCCTTTGGCAGACATACTCTTTTATAGTTATACTGGCTCGGACACCCAGCGTTGCTACAGTGACGGAGACCACATCTTCATTACCCACTATCTTTACCACAGTAACTATATTCACTACACACAACCATCACCACTATATCCATTACATACATGTTTTCACTACAGCAACCATCTTCGCCAGTCCTTCACTGTAGCCCTCTACATATCAGAGGACCATCGTCACTACCCAGGCGCTCCCATCATCACTGCCTAACTGCCTCTCTGAGCCCATCTTACTTACCTTTCACCACATTCCCCACAATACTTCTAACCCTTCACCATCCTCTCTACTATTTTCTTAAGCTTCACCACTTTCCTTAACTTTCACCGCATCGATTATGTTTTTGTTGAACCACTGGACACACTGAAGAACGATAAACCAACCGAGTTCTTCATGAATGTGAGAGCAACATCAAATCATACATCAAATGTCACCGTAACCCTACTGGACTTTAAAGTAGCCACAGACAGCAAGTCCATACACGCCACACAAGGCCCACATTAATGGAAGTTATCATTCTTCAAGAACTGCAAAAAGTCACTTTCAGAGACAGCATAATTTGGAGACGGAGCAACGATGCTATAGTTATCCCGACATGCTTAAAGCAATACAGATCTCATCACCTCGCAAATGAGGTAAACCAAAATAAAGATGCTAAAAAAATATAGATAGCACAACCACACAAAAAATCACAAAGTGTACTAAGAAGAACAACAAAATACCTTTATTCACGGTGTGCCCATAACCTTGGAGAAGACGGGTTGAGCAGAGGGCGCTCCTGCCTCACACAGTTGCTGGAGCACTATGACATCGCCTTACAGCCCAGGGATTTATCAACTGTAATCATGATGTTCTTGGGACACAAAATGCCCACAAAAGAAATTTTTTGACAAAGTAGGGATATGAGTCATTAATTTCTTAACGAATAGAACCCAGAGTGTAATAGAGAACACAGTAATATCCGGATCCTCCACCGTGAAGAGCCCACTCCCCCAGGGTACTGTGCTTGCTCCAGTACTCTCTCATACTAATATCAGACATCAACCCGTTCTCGCAAATTCGTAAAGTCAATATTGACTTACTAACTACGTGCATAGGTGATATACTAAACATAATAGATACCCTTAAAAAGATTCATAGAAAACACCGACCTTACCTAACCTTGTTAGTATCTTAAGATAAGCATCTTATTGCTTCGTAATTACAATTATTACCTAACCTATACCTATTATAGGTTAGGTAATAATTGTAATTACGAAGCAATAAGATGCTTATCTTAACATACTAACAAGGTTAGGTAAGGTCGGTGTTTTCTATGAATCTTTTTAAGGGTATCTATGTGTGTGTGTGAGAGGGGGGGGGGGTCAGACGACTGAAGGTCCACATAAGCAAGGAATCATCACAAGGTATACAAAGGCCATTATTCCAGACCCACCACACACGTAATCCCACAAGCATGTTACTCGAAATAATTGCAAATAACATTGTGAGAGAACAAAAGACATGCGTGCGTGTGTTCGTTCTTACTTGTTGGTGATGTTTAATATATGAATACTGAAGAACTCCCTCCACCATCTGTCTCTTATCTGAGAGTGGTGCTCTTGCTGCCAGCTGGGTTAAGGTGCACTTCTTCACACTCCAAGTTGTGTGTTGTGTCTCTGGCTACAGTTATGTTGTGTCCCTGTAGTGATGTGTAGAGTGTTGTATACAGCACCTCGCCCCCCAGCCCCCTCTCCCCTCCCCTCCCTCGCCCTCCAGCCCCCTCGCCCCTCCCCTCCCTCGCCCTCCAGCCCCCTCTCCCCTCCCCTCCCTCGCCCTCCAGCCCCCTCTCCCCTTCCTCGCCCTCCAGCCCCCTCGCCCCTCCCCTCCCTCGCCCTCCAGCCCCCTCTCCCCCCCCTCCCCTCCCCTCCCTCCTCCAGCCCCCTCGCCCCTCCCCTCCCTCGCCCTCCAGCCCCCTCTCCCCCTCCCCTCCCTCGCCCTCCAGCCCCCTCGCCCCTCCCCTCCCTCGCCCTCCAGCCCCCTCTCCCCTCCCCTCCCTCGCCCTCCAGCCCCCCTCTCCCCTCCCTCGCCCTCCAGCCCCCTCCTCTCCCCTCCCCTCCCTCGCTCTCCAGCCCCCCTCTCCCCTCCCTCGCCCTCCAGCCCCCTCGCCCCTCCCCTCCCTCGCCCTCCAGCCCCCTCTCCCCTCCCCTCCCTCGCCCTCCCGCCCCCCTCGCCCCTCCCTCCCTCGCCCTCCAGCCCCCTCTCTCCCCTCCCTCGCCCTCCAGCCCCCTCTCCCCTCCCTCGCCCTCCAGCCCCCTCGCCCCTCCCCTCCCTCGCCCTCCAGCCCCCTCTCCCCTCCCCTCCCTCGCCCTCCAGCCCCCTCTCCCCTCCCTCGCCCTCCAGCCCCCTCGCCCCTCCCCTCCCTCGCCCTCCAGCCCCCTCGCCCCCCTCCCCTCCCTCGCCCTCCAGTCCCCTCTCCCCTCCCCTCCCTCGCCCTCAAGCCCCCTCTCCCCTCCCCTCCCTCGCCCTCCAGCCCCCTCGCCCCTCCCCTCCCTCGCCCTCCAGCCCCCTCTCCCCTCCCCTCCCTCCAGCCCCTCCAGCCCCCTCTCCCCCTCCCCTCCCTCGCCCTCCAGTCCCCTCTCCCCTCCCCTCCCTCGCCCTCAAGCCCCCTCGCCCCTCCCCTCCCTCGCCCTCCAGCCCCCTCTCCCCTCCCCTCCCTCGCCCTCCAGCCCCCTCTCACCTCCCCTCCCTCGCCCTCCAGCCCCCCTCTCCCCTCCCTCGCCCTCCAGCCCCCTCTCCCCTCCCCCCTCCCTCGCCCTCCAGCCCCCCTCTCCCCCTCCCTCGCCCTCCAGCCCCCTCTCCCCTCCCCCTCCCTCGCCCTCCAGCCCCCTCGCCCCTCCCCTCCCTCGCCCTCCAGTCCCCTCTCCCCTCCCCTCCCTCGCCCTCAAGCCCCCTCTCCCCTCCCTCGCCCTCAAGCCCCCTCTCCCCTCCCCTCCCTCGCCCTCCAGCCCCCTCGCCCCTCCCACTCCCATCGCCCTCCAGCACATTCCTCCCCTCCTCAACCCTCAGAATTAATAACTTCACATTCAAAACGTATTTGTTTTTGCTGCAGGGGGGTCCGCCGATTCTCTTGACGGCAGAGTAATATAATGTTGTTATGTATAATGTCCCACAGTATGATGCAACTCATTGTGTTATGCTTCACCTGTTTCAGGTTAGCGTGACTATGATAGGAGGCTGAGTGTGTCGGGGCCCGTGGTTGGTGGCGTGGTCATCACGGAGCACTGGTGCCACAGTCACCGGCTGGTTAATGAAGCAGCCTTTGATGGTGACTTATCAAGCTCCCCTTTGAACACCGTGAGAGGTCGCCTACGTCTGCCCTAAACAGTCTTGACAAGTGCTGAGACCTTGATGTTTTACTTAAATGTCTCTCAGCGTACCGACTGAACCTCTGCTTTTCACCGGGACTATTTTGCACTTCCTGCCATGCCTCCATGCCTCTAGGTCTCGTGTGCAGGGTATTTTGCACTTCCTGCCATGCCTCCATGCCTCTAGGTCTTGTGTGCAGGGTATTTTGCACTTCCTGCCATGCCTCCATGCCTCTAGGTCTTGTGTGCAGGTATTTTGCACTTCCTGCCATGCCTCCATGTCTCTAGGTCTTGTGTGCAGGGTATTTTGCACTTCCTGCCATGCCTCCATGCCTCTAGGTCTTGTGTGCAGGGTATTTTGCACTTCCTGCCATGCCTCCATGCCTCTAGGTCTTGTGTGCAGGGTATTTTGCACTTCCTGCCATGCCTCCATGCCTCTAGGTCTCGTGTGCAGGGTATTTTGCACTTCCTGCCATGCCTCCATGCCTCTAGGTCTTGTGTGCAGGGTATTTTGCACTTCCTGCCATGCCTCCATGCCTCTAGGTCTCGTGTGCAGGGTATTTTGCACTTCCTGCCATGCCTCCATGCCTCTAGGTCTCGTGTGCAGGGTATTTTGCACTTCCTGCCATGCCTCTAGGTCTCGTGTGCAGGGTATTTTGCACTTCCTGCCATGCCTCCATGCCTCTAGGTCTCGTGTGCAGGGTATTTTGCACTTCCTGCCATGCCTCTAGGTCTCGTGTGCAGGGTATTTTGCACTTCCTGCCATGCCTCCATGCCTCTAGGTCTCGTGTGCAGGGTATTTTGCACTTCCTGCCATGCCTCCATGCCTCTAGGTCTCGTGTGCAGGGTTTTAAACGCGTTTAAATGTAGAACTGACCCCTTAATATTTTCAGAAATGTGATTTATTATGTATTTATCTCGCGTGTGCTCTAGAAAATACAAATTTTAGACTGTCCCAATAATTTAGAAGGTTTATTTAACGCAATCTGGCAGTAACAAATCTGTGCCCGTTTTCCTGGTGGGGAAGTTCTCCAGGTTTGACTGTGGGTGTTAATGTGCACCAATATTCCACCCTAGAGAGCACTGGTGTGTCAAGCACCAGAGAGGAGTACAGGTGTGGGTGTGGACTGTACCTCCTGGCCCCCACCTACTGCAACCACTCCGGAGTTTATCGCCAAAGGTTTTACACACCACCACCTCTAATACCAGTGGCAGGAACACCAGTACATATGGCAACACAGCAAGTGACGACGCGGAGGGAGGGAGAGGGGGAGTAATAGGTAAGGGAGGGGGGGATGGGGGAGGAGAGGGGAAGGAAAAACAAGGTAGTAAGAGCAGCAGAACATGGAAGTGGAGGCAGGTAGAGGCAGGCAGGCAGGCAGGCAGGCAGGTAGCGAGGGACGTGTTACGTACTCCTAGCAGAATACGTATATAAATTTAAAATAACTTGTTTTGTTCCATTATATCATTGCCTGTATATGTACACACATTGTGTTTTTGGTAAATTATCGTGTGGTGTGGCAGCGTCAGTGGAGACAGGAGCGCGGTTGCTTTGCACACGTCTAATACCTGTTAAATTCGGGAAGCTGGACCTGTTCAGTTGGGAGTTCCAGATGTCACTTTTATTTAGTTTAGGTAATTGTTTATTTTCTGCAATTAAACAGGTGGCATTGTACTTATATATTTTGTAAGTAACTATTATATGTAATTTGCATTCTTATGTGTTTTGAGAACAAGTGGTTGTTCAATTAGTTTTAAATATTAAAAAGTCCTTAGTTTCCATCCCTCATCCTGGATGAGGCAGACGGGAGGTGAGAATTTGGGGTAGCGACAGAGCGAGAGTTCAGTAGCTGAACGGGACTCGAAGGAATAACATGTGGGAGATAAGTCTGTAACATTCATGTTGTGCCATATTTTATTATGTTATATTAAGTGAGATGACAATACTTTTGGTTTGTTGTATAAGTTAACTTTACCATCTGTGTTTTTATATTATACTGTTTTGAATATATATATTATAAGTTATATGTATAATTCTTCAGTCCTAAGGGAGAAATACTTTTAAGTCTTAGCCTGTTATCATTCACGGGGTTATACTGGTGACCCGCTTTAGAGAGCAGCAGTGGTATCCCTAGACGTAATTAAAGCTTGGCTGCTGTAGGGTCACGAGCCGTAACGAACGATAGGTAACAAGAGTTATGGGGGCCTGTCCGGGAGATATTGTTCCCACTTAACCTTAACTATGCTAATCTAACCTTGCCTTCCTAGGTACCAGTGTGTTAAGTGTCTGTGTGTTTCTTAAGAACTATTCCATGTGCCAAGCAAGCCTTCCTGTGTGTCAAGTAACAACGTTTCACGATTTTGAGGTAAGTCATCCTATATATTTTGTTTGTGCAGTGAGGCCAAGCGAATTTTCAGTGTGGTGACAATTTTACAGTGAAGTGTAGTGCAGTGCCATTGTTTTTAATTATTGTTG